CTTTGTCAATGAATAATAATCAAAAAAAAAATTAATGTGTTCTTACTTCCTTCATTATATACAAGTTTTTGTAATTTATTAAGTGTCATTAAATCTTGATTTGGAAATACAATTTGAGATAAACGAAGCCATAGTAGATCATCAATAGAATTTATTATTAATTCATGCATATTATTAACATCATATGCAGAAAGTATTGATAATACTATACTAAAATAGTAAGAAAATATCATATATATATATATATTAATCATAGATTTTGATTTCGAATATATCTATTAGTATAATCATGAATAAAATATATCAAATTAGCATTGGCTATTTGTGTTTCAGAAAGTTTCTGTTCTATATGAATATCAAACTTAGAAAATGAACGATTTCGACACAAGATAAACATAATAATTCGTTTTACTATGAAAAGTAATTGTTCACACATTTAAATCTTATAAATTTAACGAATGAGTTAGAGACCGAACTGTACTAGTTTATCTACATCTCATTTAAGTGAATCCTCCAGTCAATTTTTCTAATTACTCTTTAGGACATTCTTTGTTTATTCATATTTACAAAACAAAATAGAGAAATATATCTACTGGAAATCCATAAGGTAACATCAAACGTCTATTTTATTGTATTACAAAATAGTACGGATTATGGAAGTCCTTCAACTGCTTAATCGCTTCTCAGTCGAGACAATGTGCATTATACAGATTCATACGAGCTATGAACACTATGCAGAGAGCTTGTTGTTACGAAGATACTGCACTTTAACAAGGTTTTTTAAATAAATGTCGTGATCCACTTCAATAGAATCTATCGGATTTTACGCAGACTCAAACCCAGAAATACTTGGACCCGATGGGCTCTACTTTTCAGAAAGATCCGAAAACCTAATTTTCGAATTTCGATTTGAAATTTTCCATAGAGATAAGTCTTAATGATAATAGTCTATTGTGAATGTTTCAAGGCTTGTTGCTATTCCAAGATACAACTCTGGTAATAGCATCTTGCAAAATAAACTATTCTTGTTAAGATTTGTCTCTATAGAAAGTTTCAAGTCAAAATTCGAAAATCAGTTTTTCTTATATTCGTGAAAGAGACGAGAGCATTTTTAAAAAATCCCGTAAAAGTACACTATCACCGTAAAAATAAACCTAGTACATGAACTTATTTTTCTTGTAATAATTCGATTCTAAGAATAAAATCATAATAGAAACAAAAAAAAATTTACCTTTTAAATGGATTTGTCAAATGTTCTCGATCATAAACATCTTGAATTTTCAAACGTATTGTTGGATCAATTGACTGATTATTATTTTTTATATAATTATTTAACCATTCAGTAGCACTTGTTAAACTTAACAAACAAACAAACAAACAAATAATATTTATTTTATTGATATTAACTTACTGGCATCGTTTAGCAGCATTTAATGCTGATTGTAAATCACCTGCACGTAAACAATAAAAAATTATTGACCAAATTGGCAAATCATCAATATTTCCATCCTATTACAATAAATAAATATTTAAGATAACAAAAAAAAAAAAATAAAACAAATAATAATAAATTTACATCATCAATAATATGAACAATATTTGGATGTTTCTGTCGAATATAACGTATTATTAATTTATATATTGAACCTGGCTTATGTATATCATCATCTGGCACAAGATTTATAAACATTTTTGATAATTGAATACGAAATCTATGAAAGCAAAAAACAACAATCGAAAATAATAAAAATAAATCGAAATATTACGAATATTCTAAATAATTTCGAGCAGATAATACAATAGCTTGTTGAGATGGTAATGATGTTCGATTAATTAAATAATCTGATGGAAGTTGACTCATATAACGAACAATATTCCATAAATCCATTGTTGCCTAAATATAAGATTATTTCATTTTCACAAAAAATGATTGAAATCTCTTATTTTTACCTGTGGTTGATTTGATGATTCAACAACAGTTATAAATTCATCAATTAAATTTTGACGTCCTATTTTACCAACATTATAAAGTGCAATCTATGTTGAAAAAAAACAGTAAATTTAATAATAAAAGAAAACTAAGTTTTGTATATTGTAGAGCAATATTGATTGTGTATCAAAGTAATATTTTCCCAAAACTTTTCTGTCTTGAAGCCGATTTCTATATGTTATTTTCATATATCAATCAGTCTTAGTGTATAAATATTTTTCAAAAAAAATGTCGCTCTACACTTTGTTAATAAAACTAAACTTTCTCTCGAATGGAGAGAGATTATTCTACTCTATGAGCTGAAAAAAGGATAAAATTTTTGTATTAATAAAGTGTATGAAACAAACCTCTTTTACTTCTCAAATTATTTCCTCCCCTCCTATTTCTTTTTGATATCCAACCAACTGTATTCAAATGAAATTTCTCCTAGCGAAATATCGTTGATTTTAATGTTGCTCTACACAAAAATTAGAAGTGTCTTCACGCCTACTATCGATAGTCTTTCATTCATAAAACTTTGTCTAAAGCTGAAACCTAAGACATATTCTGAAAGCTCTACAACTCTAGCTGAAAACATAATTTTTAAAAAATCGTCATTGAATAAAAAGAATATTGATCGATTTCCGACAGAACACGTTAGAAGCTAGATGCTTGCCGTATTGTTATGATTTCTCGGAAACTTAACTTTTTTAGAATTGAATGATCATCTCTAGACCAATAAAAAAAAAAAAGAATTATCAAAATCGATTGATTAAAATTCGACTCATAGGCATTTTTCTTTTCAGGACACAAGGCTACTGTGATCATGCTCTTCACTCATATAAATAAAGATTCCAACATTTGATTGCAAATCGTAATAATGAAAAAAAAAACAAAAATTTGCTGTCCAAACAAATTCTTAGAGTTTTTCAAAGATTATTTCACTAATTTCTAAGCCCATAGTCGAAACTAGGAATTTCCGAATTTATTTCTGTTGTCTTCATAACTTTAGGAATCTTTCGGAAAACTAGACTACTTTTGAACTTTCTTGCTGATATGGTTTTTTTCTTTAGAAACAGTTTTTGAAATGATGGACACATAAGAACCATCCTCAGTTTACTTAATGTAGAACTTCATGAAGAAAAAAATAAAAGTAATCTAGACATGGAAGAATACGTCATATAAATTTTCCCATGGTAAAACATTTCTAACTGAAAACAATGTCAATTGATTATCTATTCTAGCATTTTCCTCGAGTAAAAACTTCAGTTCGAAATGAGCATGAAAATCATATAGTTATATTACACTTTCTGTTCATTGTTTTCTTAATATCTTGAGAAAGGAAAAGAGCAACAAGAGTTTTTTATTGGTTCTGACAGCTTGTAGGGAAAGCTACAAAACCAGATATATTTCAATTTTTTTTACAAGTAACTTTTGCTACATAAGATGATTTGAATTTTGTTTAGACAAGTCTGCAACATATCTTGATTGTAAAAAGTAAGCTTGGGATCAAAGAGAATGACATATTCACTACTCATTTCCAAAAAAAAAACAAGGTACGTGGAAATCTTTTTGATAGAAATCTCCAGTTTTCACCTTTAGAAAGAGGAGATGAGCATCGAATCATATATTACAAGTTTTTTTTTTTAAGGTTTTCAATCGACCTTTTTGAAAACCAACGTATCCTATAGGATGATTATAGTAAATTTTCAATAATCAGGAGTGCATTCGAACCTCTAATAGAAGATCTACAAAATTATGCAAGACTCATATTTAATTATTCTAGTTAAAATTCTCGACCGATTTTTTAAGTAATTCCTGTAAAACCACCTGCCCTTTTCTTTCGAAATATACATTAGCATTACAGAAGCTTATTTATGAATAAAAATAAAAACCCATTAAGTCAATTGATGTAGATCAATTCGAACATTCTTACTTACCACTTTGGCATATGCAGCTTCAATATTTGATAAACCTCTTGATAATGTTCTCGGTGTTTCAAAACGTTTAATCTAATAATTGAAAATATAAGTTTTTTTTTTGTTTTAATTTTTTAAATTCTTACCTGCATTGCATTTGCTTCATCAAGATAACTTTGATCATGTTTTGATACAGTTGATAAAATCATTTGTCGTTGTTTTTGCCAATTATTATCTAATACATAATTACTATGACGAGTTATTTCATCGTATGTCTATAAAAAAAAAAAAAAAAGTTGAGAATTTGTTTTGTTTTTTTTCTTTCTCATTTTGTACTTTATCTTCAATCATTCTTAACATCGATAAAAGTGTTTTTTCTCGTTCATGTTTAAGATAATCATTAAGATTATTTGTTAATTTTCCATCTAATTGTTGTTCAATTGTATCATCTTTTAAATCTTTAGGTTTAATTATTGTTGTTGTTTGTAATGTTTTATCAATTTTCTCAAATTGATCTTGTATATGTTGAACATTAATACCAGTTGAAGAATTTAAAAAAGCTAATGTACTTAATTGATCAATATTATTTAATAATTCACGTTTTGTTTTTAATGATGAACGCTGTCCTTCATCAATAAGTTGTGTTAAATTTCGATGTAATGAAAGATTATTTGTTGTTGGTGTTGATGATGATTGAGTTGGAATTTGTGTTGAATTTATTATTGTACTTTGATTTAATGGTGTTTGATAAGTTGTATTAGATAAATTAGTTGTTGATGATGAACTTCCAAGTCCTAAAAGCCAATTAAATGGACCTGACATTATCTAAGAAAATGAAATTTTAGTAGATTTCGTTTTCTTTTTATTACTATGAATAAACAGTTAAGAAATGACAAAGAATAAAAAGATATCCAATCATGTTTGACATTGTTTCCTCTCTTATAATTTTTAAGTCCATCGTATATTTTATGGAAGCATATAAGAGAGAGAGAAAAAAAAGACGTGATTGTGTAATAGTTATTTGACGTTTGTACAAATACAAATGTCGTATGAAGATTAACATGCGACATTTTTTTATGTAGAAATATTTCATTGCAGAATTAAAACAAAAAATGTATGCCTCAAATGAAGATGAAGATTGGGTTTATTTGCATGAAACACCATCAATAAATCTAGTAGGATAGGGTTTTCTTTTTGTGTTAATATCTGTATGGAAAATATATTTTAAAAGGTTCTTCGACAAACTGTAAATTTCAGTGATAACGAATATTCTAATTCATCATTATTATCAAGTTCCAGCACCAGCAGCTGTTCATCAAAATTAGATCGAAGTGTTTCATTATCTTCTATTTCTTCAACGGAGTGAGTGAAAGTTCCAAAAAATTAGTTAAAAGTTTTTCGACACAGTACCACAATTTTTCGTTCTTTCTAAATACTCATTTTGTGAAAAATCGACAATCGCTTTACGTTAAAAAAATATTTGGATAAAAGCTACAGTTTAGTTCACTATTACATTTTGTAGAGAGATCTTCGCTCTACAAAACAAGTGACTCTAACAAATTTTCGCATGTTCGAAAAGGAACTTATAGAGTTAACAAAAATCTGTTGGCTCACCATTAAAAATAATTTTTCAAGTCTTTCAAGAATTTCTTCAGTACTGTCGAGCAAAATTTATCGGCTCATATTCGAAAAGTGCATCATAATTCATAGCTTTTGACTCGTCGGAAATACATCAAAAGTAAAAAATCAAATAACTTTACTTTTTCACATCTCTAAATCATCATACATTCCATATTGTACGTTGATCTCGCTACTGTCAGTCAAAGAATCGCGTTTTTCTTAAATCAATTTTTTGATGAAAACAAAGTGCAGAAATGCTCTAGTATGTTCGATCGAACTGAAACTTTTTTCACATATACTATAGGTTATTTAGGATGGCTATCCTTTTTTTTGTTTTTGTTTTCATAAATACTGTTCTACTGATTTCAAGTAGCTCTTACAAAAAAAAAGTTCTGTTCAAGAAGACATGAGTCTTTTAAGGTACTTTCGATATTTTAGGGTTTTGATTTAAAGGACAAAAAAATAAAAAGTTACCTACCTCAAACAGTATTGAAAATTGAAACCTTATGAGTCCGGTATCTCATCGAAGATATAACAACTTTTACACTACTCGTCAAAAATCCATCAAATTTTTGTGATGAACCATTCTCTACAAATTTCGGATAGGAAGTAATGCACTTAAGTATCAAACTATCGTCAGTATAACGCATATGAGATGATTATCCAATGTCGTTCTTATCAATGATTAGTTCCATTTCAATTTCATTTGAAGATTTCATTTTCCATTGATTAATCTATATTAAAATAAATAACGATAAGAAGCGAATTCTTATATTTAGACTTGAACATGCAAAAAATGACGATATAATAATAAATAATAGTATGTTTCACTCATCTATAAATAACTATCATCATCCAAAACAAGAAATTCATTTATTAGAAGCAACAAATGATGAAGATATATTATTATATTATGATCATAATAATACACCAACTACAAATATTAATAACCATTTATTATCAACCAGAGAAGAAAATGAAATTTTACCATCTGAAGTAATTATTTCGAATGATAATGAGAATTCAACTATTGAAATAAATACTAATACACCTGAAGTAATGAATGAGAATGATATACTCAATACTGGATTTGAATTAAAGTATTTCAAAAAAAAATAAATCAATAAAAAAAAAATTTATTTCTATTTTAGTCAAACAATATCATTAACAAATAGTAATGAATCACTTTCATTACCAAATAATCTTCGGTAGGTTTTGTTGTTCATATTAGATGATTAAAATAAACAAAAAACTATATGTATTTTCTTCTAAAAGTTCTCGTATTGATTTAAATGTTCAACAAACAGATAAGTCTAAAACAATACAATCAAGTTCAATTTTACAAGAGCTTAAGCCACAAAAATACTTTGAACAGTATAAAAATAAAAATAATATATCGATTTCTTGTATATACATAATTGTATTCTTGGCTTTCTCATTTATTCTTGGACATATTGTTACACGATGGGGTACGAATATGTTTTGTTTTATTTGAATTATTAATTCTTCTTTTTGTTTTCGTTTAAATAGACCAATCAATGATAACTAAAGTTGCGGAAGAACTTATTAAAACAAATCAACGTTTATATCATATAAAAGATATCCCTATGGGAAATAATATTGAAGAAAAATTCACAAAACAGGTAAAATCATTGAAAATTATTTTATTGATTTTTGTTTTTGTTTTCCTTTTAGTTAGAAGAAAAACTTCAAAATATGATCCATCAACAATCAGTATGGCATGATCATGAAAAAAATACTTTTAGTTTACAAATATATGAACTTCAAGAAATATTAAAAATGACACGACAAAATTTAACAAATACAATTTATCAAGTAAAAGATTTATTTCATTGATGAATTTCATTTTTTTCTGTATTATTTATTTCAATAGTTAACTCAAGAGAATGAACGATTACAAGGAAAAATCAAATCATTAGAACATCGTTTACAAGTAACTGAAGAACAGTATTCCCAAAAAACAAAAATATGTATAGAAGGTGTTAATGTGAGTCAGATAAAATACTTTCATCTTTTCATAAATCAAATATCACATTTTTTTTCATTCAGTGTACAGAATCAACATTCAACGAATTAGCTGCTACTATATTCAAGCAAACAGTTTCAATTACTACTGATATTTCAGTTAATTTATCAGATCTTTTCAAATATTTAAGTGGATCAGTTAGTAATATTGTTGATCATCGTCATAAATATATTGAAAAAAGTAAACGACAATTAACTAATTTTATTCGTTCATCAACTGTTAAAAAATTTCAAACATCATTACGTCGTAGTATTGCAAATCTTTCTTCATCATTTCGTAAAACTAAAGTAAATTATGTTACATGGCTTAAATCACGTATACAACGTCGAGAACAAAATCGAATAGAAAATAATAAAAAAGAAAAACAACAACGACAAATACATATAAAATATCCATGGCGTTGGACATTTCAACAAGGTTTTAATCGAGAGCGTGTACGCCATCAAACATCAAATAAAGAAAAAACTTGTTATTCGAAATTTAATTTTCCAATGAATAAAATATATTCAATAAAAAATTGGATGATTAAATTACTTCGACCATAATCTCGAGAATATTTGTTTTCTCTCACATGTACTATTCTCAATTTTGTATTATATGAAAAAAAAACCAGAAAACGTGATCAATCTCTTTTTTTTTTGTAACTGTTTTTTTCATTGACTTTTATGTATATATTTTATTTGACATTTCCTTTTTTTTTTTATTTGCAAATCTGCGAATTTTGTATGATTATTCTACTAAAATGACATTTCTTTTAATAGTATAAAATGATATTATGAGTTCTAGATGTGAATCATGATCGATATAATAAATTGGTCTGTATAGATTTATCAAATTAAACTGAAGTCTAATAATAAGATCGTTCGATTTTTGTCGTTGACGACTATATACGAGCAGTATTTTTATCATATTCGATGATTTAACGCTTGTATGTCAGGCGATATGTACAGAGTGGTCCATGAAGAGTACTACAATAAAAAAATGAAATATCTCCGCGTCGGTTCAATTAAATCAGCTGATTTTTTGGTTAGTGATAGAAGTTTATTCAAAATTTTTTTTCTCATACCGATAAGGTTAGCAAATACTACTATCAACTGTTTTGTCGGTATTATGAAAGCAATTTTAACTGTTATCAAGTAAGAAAAAATAGATGTGTAATATTTCATAGAGAATTTTCAGTTGTTATCTAAGAGAAGAAGGTGAAATCAAAACCAACTTTATGAATGATACTATATTAATATGAATAGAGAAAATTTTCAGAATTATTATCCATTTCAAAATATAATATGCTCGACTTTTGATAGGAACATCATAGAAATCTGCGGTTTTCATCATTAAGAACTTTAAATAAGCTTCTATCACCAACCAAAAAATCAATTCATTCGAATGGACCGAAGTAGAGATTGTTCAATATTGTTTTCGTAGTGCTATTTATGTCTCACCCTATATATGATAGTCGTATTTTTCAATCCGGATAATTAATTATAATTATAAGATTTCGGTGTTTGATTATTTCAATATTAACTGAGATTGTTCCATTATAGTACTGATTAAAAATATAAGACCAACGTATTTTTTTTTCTACGATATCAAATATTTCAACTCAAAGCCAAATAATGATTTGAATAGCCGACGAAATTTTCTATCAAATATATTCCATATTGAAATTTTATAGATGAACTATGAGAGGAAGGTTTCTGAAAAATTAAATACAGTCATTCACAGAAGACTGTGTGACAATTAGTTCTCAATATAACCATCTTTAAGAGCACAAAATCTTTAATAAAATGAGGGCTTGACATATTTCCCATGATCTTCCCTTAAAAAGTTATGAGCATCACAAAAAATGAAATTTGTCATAGTATTGCTAAAACAACACTTTTTTTGTAATGCTTATAATTTTTTAAGGGAACATTGTACAAAATGTAGCAAGCTATTATTTTATTCGCGATTTCATGCTATTTAAGAAGGTATCCGTGAAAATACCGAGGATCACCTCAGTATACGAGGCATTGGTCAAGATTTTAAATTTTTGATTTTTTATGTGCGCTCGAAATGGCATCATTTGAAACTAACAAACTCAAATTTTTAACATATTTCAATGTACTATGATAAAGTTAGTCAATACCAACTTTTGAGCACTATCAAGAAAATAATCAAAATTCGTATCATAAATGTTTATTACGATTGTACTATAACAAATCAGAAAATTTTTCGTGCAATATACTCAAAGATTGAGCATCAATAGCTGAAACATTTGAGATATTTACATTCTTAGATATGGTCTATTTACTGGAGTTTTGTAGTTCAACATGAGTAAGAAAGGTCACAATTTACGATTTCATAATGGCCGTGTTTTATAGTACATATAGTGTTTGAAATCAAAAGACATCAACCTGAATTTTTTATATATTATGTAACTTTTAATTCTCAATGAAACTGTTAAAAGAAAAGTTTACCTTCGGGATGAAACGGGCTTCAAATCCTTATCCTACGTTATGATTTTTCAAAAGAAAAAAAAAACATTTTTAACGGTTTTCATCATCATGGCACAATTGTAAAGCAAAATAAATATGACATTCAGAATCAGCATCAAAACCTACATTGAGTCAAATATATTTTATAGAATAGTTTTCCCTGAGAAAAAATAACACCTGAGGAACTACAGGGCAAAATTTTAATAAAATACAGCCGTGGGGGATTAGAGGTGACTTTGTCATATGAAAAAATTTTTTCTAAAATGTATTTGACACTGATTCCAAATGTCACATTTATTTCACTATATAATTATGTCATGACAATGAAAACCGCTAAGAATGTTTGTTTTCTTAAAAAATCACAATGTAAGAGAGAGATGTGAAGTTTGTTTCATCTCAAAGGTAAACTTTTCTTTTGATAATTCCATCGAGAATTGAAAGTTACATAAAATATACGAAACTCAACTTGATGTCTTTTGATTTCAAAAAATAACAGCAGATGTACTGTCAAACATAGACCATTATAAAATCGTAAATTGTGACCTTTCTCAGTCTTGTCGGACTACAATATCCTAGTAATTTATAGCACAATTTTTAACTACTTTCTTAATAGTGCTCAAAAGTCTTTATTGACTAACTTTACTGTAGTACATTAAAATGAATTTAAAATTTGGATTTGGCGGTTTCAGATGATGGCATTTGAAATGCACATAAGAAATTAAAAATTTAAATTTTGACATGTGTTTCAGCTCCGTAGTCCCCTCATGGATGCTCTCATAAGATGGTACTCTTAAAAACTAATTTTCACACAGTCTTAACTATCTTGTCTGGTTTTTCAGAAACATTCCAGTTCACAGTTCATCTAACGAAATTTCTGTATGCATTGTACTTGATAGACAACTTCATTGGCTATTCAAACAATTATTTAGATTCGTGTTAAATACTTCGTATTGTAGAAAAAAATAAAAAATTCATGGATTTCATATTTTTGACCAGTATTATTTATTATAGATGAAAAATGATTCAGTTTTTCGAAATAAAACGAACGAATGTATATTTATTGTAAAAGATCTGCAGAAAAATATTGTCTAAATAGTGTTGAATGCTAGATAGTAATTTAATTTGAAAATTATTGAATAAATTCATAATCTACAAATCCTTTTATTGGATAATTTTATTTGTAATAAAAATTTGTTTTAGATCGATTAAAAAAAAAATTAAAATGAACGATGATGCATTTAAATATGCTGAACGTCTTGTACCTCGTTCATATATTGATTTAGCTCGACAAGCACGTCGATCATATGAACAACAAATTCGACAAATAATTGAGCATAGGAAATTACCCGAACAACCATTAGATGAGAATATTATTGAACAATGGTTAAATGAAATAGCACAAATGGATTCAAATAATTTTGAAGGAAATATTGGCGTAGGAGAACGTGAAGGTAATCTATTTTAAACATTAATTTTAACGAAATAATCGTGTTTTTGTTTTGTTTCAGGTCGTATCTATTCATCTCTTGTTGCACGACGTCATTATTTATTTTCACATGGTATTGGACGTTCTGGTGATATCAATGCCATTCAACCTAAAGCAGCTGGTTCATCATTACTTAATAAACTTACAAATGAACTTGTACTTGATGCTATTCATATTCTTGGTTTAAGAACAATTACTCATGCACTTGTTATTCCAATGGCAACCGGTAGGATTTTGGTGAGTGTTAATGTTCTAATTAACACAAATGTGTGTGTGTGTGTGTGTTTTCTTTTTTTTTTATATAGGTATGACAATGACATTATGTTTATTAACATTAAAAAAACAACGACCAAATTCACGTTATGTTCTTTGGTCACGTATTGATCAAAAAAGTTGTTTTAAATCAATTTTAGCAGCTAATTTAGAACCAATTATAATTGAACAAATTGAAAATAATAATTATTTACAAACAAATATAAATGAATTTGAAAAACAAATTAAAAAATTAAATCAAAATGAAATATGTTGTATTATATCAACAACAAGTTGTTTTGCACCACGTACTATTGATAATATTCAATATATAAGTAATTTATGTCAAATATATTCAATACCACATTTAATTAATAATGCATATGGTTTACAATCAACAAAAATTATTCATGAAATTGAACAAACTAAACGTTCAAATGGTCGTATTGATTATATTGTTCAAAGTACAGATAAAAATTTTCTTGTACCTGTTGGTGGTTCAATTGTTCTTACATATGATAAAGAATTATTTGATAAACTTTCACATATTTATCCAGGTCGTGCATCAATAAATCCAACAATTGATATATTTATTACACTTTTATCAATGGGTAAAAAAGGTTTAATTGATTTAATACAAAAACGTAAAAATTTATTTAATATTTTTTATGAAAAACTTCTTCAATGGACAAAAGATAATGATGAATGTATACTTTCATCAAAACAATTTAGTCCTATATCAATAGCTATATCACTTAAACATATATCAAATGAACATTTAACTGAACTTGGTTCAATGTTATTTACACGACGAATATCAGGTGCACGAGTTGTTAAATTAGGAACAAAACAAACTATTGATTCATATGAATTTATAAATTATGGTGCACATTCATCAAATATACAATATTCATATTTAACTGTTGCAGCTGCTATTGGTATTGAAGAAAATGATATTGAAATATTTATGAAAAAATTTGATAGTATTTATCAAAAATTACGACGAAATGAAAACAGTGATGATTAATAGAGAGTTTCTTTTGTTTTCTGTTTTTTATTTTGATGTTATTCTTTAATAAATCAAAAGATCCATCGTAAAGATTAAAATAAATCTGTTACAGTCATAAAATATGAAAAAGATTTTATGATATGAAATAAATAGCTGATTATGAAGTAAATCATAAAAAACAAAAAAAAAAAAAGAAACGTTTAAAATTTGAAGATTTATGGATCAAATTAAAAATGGCTTTATATAAAGCGATCATGTGACTATCATATACCAGTGGGTCAAAAATAATCAGTACAATTTTGATAACGGTAACATTTTCCATTTTTCTTGGTTTTAAAAAATTTAATTATAAAGTTATTAGATGTAGGAAAGAACAAGTGATACGTTCGTGCTATTTCCTTTGCAATACAATTCTAGTGTATAAGCAGATGTAGTTAATCAAAAATCGTAGATCTTTATTTCGAGATATTTTTTGTTAGGGGATTGTAAATTGAAATTCTTCTTTTTCAAAATATTACTTTCATGGGTATCAATAAATGAAAATAATAGATATTTTCTATTTTAATTTGATAGCTGTAGTCAAGATGTTTAACAATCTACTTGAATAACAATATTTTATTTTGAAATAACAAACAAAAGTGCTATTTTTTTTTCAAAACTGTCATGTCACTTGTTCTTTCCTACATCTAATGACTTTATAATTAAATTTTGTGAAATCTTGAAGAACGAAAAATATTACCATTATTGAAATTGTATCAATAATTTTTGCGTCTAAAATATGCGTAAATTTCAAAGATTGACTTCGTATTCAGCATAGACTTAGTCTACAATGTTGATTTTTATAATGTCGATACTAGATGACTAGAGAACGTCGGATTAGTTTCGGATGCGACTAGGTCCGAAAATTTTGAACCTAAAAGGCTTTATTGTGTGGATAATTTTTGCCGCACATGTAAATAATATCAAATATTGTTATTTTGATTATCTTGTTCTCTTTCATGTTTATGAATACCTATGACTTTCAACAATTCATCGATTTTTCAAGTTATTCTTTATTATACATTAAAATACTTTCTAAAACATTTGCATGGAATCAATAGATAGTTGAAAGACTTTCTATTCCTATTCGATTTTGATTGAAACCCTTGCATGTAGTACAACATTAACTATTGATCTCTCAACGTATTCTCAAATGTGGACTAATCAAAATATAATCACGAAAAAAACAGATTATCGAAAAAATCTTAATTAAATACATTCAACTGGAAAAACTAGGTTTTTAGGTACTGAAACACTCCAAAAGCCCACTGGATTTCTGAAAAAAGCTTTTGAAAGACTTAACAATCCATGTCATATGTTTATTCGCACTACCGCCGATATACCGTGGCGCTACTCATAAAAATCAGTAGTAGTAGTACTTACAACTTTCAGTTCCAGCTATAAACGATTGCAAAAAGTATTTTCTATCCAAATTAGAATTAACCGAGCAGAAAACAGTTTCAAAATATATCTTACTGTAATAAAAAGTTTTGCAACATCATCTATAATAAAAAGTTTATCTCATAACTGGGCCCGATTTGGGCTCTTTGGCTAGTACACGCCAGAGACTGGAAATGTGAGAACAGGGCGGGGTTAATTAATATGTCGCATATACTCAATACCATGTGACTCAGCTACTGTTGAAAGAGAATTTTCGGCAGCATGTGAAGTTGTCCACAAAAGAAGATCTAATTTAGGCCCAATAAATGTTAATAATACTTTATTTCTTCGTTCGATAGAGAATAACAAAGTAAAAGATTAATTGATCTCAAGCTATATCGTTTTTGTGCTCCTGTGCGTATTTCTTGCAATATATACTCAAATGAATCATATGATCAAAAGATATGAGTAACTTATAAAGATGTGATGAAGTAGCGAAGAAGAAAAAAGATAGGAGGGGACAACACGAGGCAGTGAACAAAATATTCTCTCCGTTTTGACCTCTGATACAGGTGGATCAACATCACCGAAGTCCATCGAAAAACGATTCAATCCTATCAGTTTTGATAGAGTTCAAAAAGCTTCATCCGTTTTGATACAATACTTTCGAAAAGAACCAGCAGTAGTTATTACATGGAAAGATACATTCGTTTTTATTATTATGGTCAAAATCGACTCAACTGATGATGAAGATATGATGATCAGTTGAAATTGATCAATACAAATTAATTTCAAATTTATATTTCCTTCAGAATATGAACAATTTACTAAGTTTGCAATATTGTTTCTATTACAATAACATTAAAAAGTTATTGAAAGTATTCGAAAAATGAAAACATCCATTCTAAAATGTAATCATGAATATAATACAAAACATTCTCTTTCTGTTTAGTATAATCCAGTTCGATGATCAAACATAAAAATTTGAGAAGTTTCAAGAATACATGACATGTCAATTGCTCATATTTACTAGGTTAACTTTGATTTTTATCTCATCGTGAACAAATAAACATAGTATATATAATAAAAATTTTTGAAATTTATTTATGAATACGCATTTTTATTTCAAAGATAGTTCGAAATATAAGTGAATAGTTTTCATAATGCGTTAAATGATTATCTTTGTTTATGGTGATGCTTGAACTTGTTTAGTAATCCATGACATAAAATAGATAACATCGGCATAAATATCTGGATATGGCCCTGTGAATGAACAATCCTTTGTGCCAGACATAATACCTACTTGTTCAAAATATTTTCTTCCATCAGGATGAGTTTTTTCTCGTACAAGTGGACCACCACTATCACCAAAGCCTATTCTATCCAAAATAAATATTATAAACAATCAATCATTATCTACTTACAAACTGATTTTCCTGGATTATAAGCACACATTTTAGAGGGTTCTCGAATAATATTCAAGAGGTAGGTTAATGATTTACATCCAGCGTTGCTGTTAGCATCAACACACTGGAGATCAACTTGTTGAAGTTCAACTGGTCGACTATTACTTGGTCGATTTGGATCACCTGTTGTTGCACCCCAGCCACTTGCTATGAAAACAAAAAGAAGAATATCATATAGAAATTACTTTTTAAAAATTAATTACAAAAAACGATAAGAGTTCTTACCAACAACAGGATGGCCAACTCCACACGCTGCAGCTTTTTCTTCAGGTAGACAGATAAGACCAATCTGATGATTATCAACTACAAGTTCTCTGGCTAAACGAATGATAGCAACATCACTTGTAAGACGACCAGCATTATAAGATTCATGAGAAACGAATTTTTGTACTGGAATACCATTTTGTGGATTTAAAACATATGAAGTAAAATTATGAAGACCAGGAAATATACGAAGATCTTGTGCATTATAACCAGCAACACAATGAGCTGCTGTAAGTACATGTTTTGTTGTAATAAGACTAGCACCACAATAAGCTTTTGCTGTTCCATTTGGAAAGAAACCAACTAATAAAAGTTGATAAGGTCGCGAATGTGGAATAGCTGCTTCACCATTAACAATACGTGTTGTAGATTTTGGTTTAATTAATGGAATACCACAGACACCTGGCTGAGGAAGAACTTGAGTGTATCCATGTCGAGCCAAAATTGTTACAAGAATTAAGACAAAAAATGTGTGCATGGCTATTGAAAAACTAAATTGAATTATAGACGTGAATAACAATAGACAAATCGTTTTATACCTTTGCTTTGATGTCGTTTTTCGGTTTTACTATTCGTTTGGATAGATATAAGCTGTTTTTATACTATAAATCTTTTCAAACGATAGATAAAACATCATAAATTATATTGTGTTTTTTTCTAAACTAATGACTGTTCGAGATAACAATAAGTACAGTCAACATGGGTAATATAAAAAAAAAACTCGTAATAAACTAATAAACTTAAAAAATTTTACAGCCAATAAATAAAATGTCATATGTTTTATCTTTGTTTTCGTGATTGAGAATATGAACTAAAAAAGATCTCGAATATTCAAACACGTCACATTATTCCTTAATAATTGAATCAAGATTTATGATTTCAATAAGAATTTAATAACAATATCTCTTAGATGTTCATTGTAACTTGATATTGGCCATATCTTTCACCTAAAAAATCTCATGTTTCTTCAAGACAATCGAATAGGATTTTTTTAAATAGTTTTGTTACAGTCATATACATGAAAGATGCATTACTTGTTTTACTCATTGCAACAATAAAAATCTATTTAAAAAAACAAAGCTAGATTATATATGCAAGAGGTAAGCGATGATAGTGAAATGGGCAGTGACGAATAAAATTTTGGATAATCAAGCAACAAGAAAAAGAAAGGAAAACAATGTCTTCGATATTTTTCTAATTATAACTTAAATAATTATTTACCGACACATATTATTACAGATTATAAACAACATACAAAATCTTATCTTTATTGTTTCAAATTTAGTTATATGCTAAAATTTATTTCGTATACATAATGCAGTTAATATTATCGTCGTTTGTAAGATTGTAATATTTTAAGAAACTATAGAATTTAATGCGAGGAATTGGAGTTAACAAAATTGTTGATGTATTTTTGCTTTAGAAAAGACTTCTTCTAGTCAGAACTCGGATGAAAGTATTTGTACTTGGTACTGATACTTGTACTTCAAAACGAATACTTTTGTACTCATACTTAAGTGCAAAAAACAGGATTTTGTACTTTTTACTTGAGTTATAAATAAAATAAAATTCGTCAACAAGGTTGACAAACTCTGATAAAATTTTGAGAACCATCGTAATACCCTCTGATGAATAAAGCATAGCAATAAAAAGAATGTAATGACAATTTCTCCTCTGATATGGGTGTGGGTATGGATATCCGTGTGAGTGAACACAAGATCCACGCTCATACCCACATCCACTCCCGCTAGAGCCCATTAAGTCCAAGAATCTTTAGACTCGGAACTGGGCCAGGATCCGATCGATCAACATTTTGGATTTGAATCTGACTGATTAATCTTTTGTGAAACGAGTCCATTGCGTTCAAAAATTTCTGGATCCGCACTCGGTGGGCTCTAATTCCCATATCCACAGCCTTTTTTTATCTCGTGCGCAAACGATCCGTGCACATTTGCTCGTACCAAAATTACAGTGCGCAACTCTTGGGGTCTTTTTTTCTCAAAGTACAAGTAAAAGTAACAAATATATTTTTTTTGAAGTTCAAGTATGATATCTCTACTTGCGGTACTTGTATCTTGTCCTACCTCTGCTTCTGGTTGAATAAACTCGATCAGATGTACCATCAGTCTCAACAATATCAAGTATTTGAATTATGTATTATATGATTGTTGTGTGTGCAGTCTGATACATTTCTGTAAATGCAGAATGTATAGCTGGTTCAGAAATGAAAACATTTTGTTCATTATTTATCTGCATATTTCATCTACTGTGATCATATAATTTGTTGTTGTTACTATCCGATATTCTGCTGAATTTAATACATTCAGATTGATTTTAAATAAGAACAAATTAAACACTCAATATAATTTATTGTTCAGTATTATATACCAATTATCAGTAAACAAATGAAATTATCAGTAAAAACTTTATTGTTCAGTAACTATTATGTTTACTTAGTAAATTAATTTGTGCCTGTTGGTGTGAGATTGAGTGTATGGATGTGAATGTAGGTGGTGTGTGAGATATAAGTATACAGATGTAGGCGTCAGGATTCTTGATAATTTTTCGAAATGGAAGGGGCTAAAAATTTGATAGACAGTTTGCCGGCAACAGCTCGAAATTTTCACAGACAAGATGCAAAAAAATGAGGGCGGGCTAGCCCATCCCAACCCTTCCCACATTGAGACTTATGGTGAGTGCAGGTGTCGACATATGACAATGGGCGTGAGTACTACTGTCCAATGGCCGACACCGATATCCACAGCTTCCTTATCGGAAGCCTGTGCCAAGAATTTTGATAGGATCCTATTGAAGATGTAAGATTCTTCGTTCTGGGTTTCTAAAATTATATTCTAGTTAGAATAGCTGACAATCTAGTAATATTCATATTGAACTTTATTATGACTAATTTCATTAATCTTGCATCACATTATCAAATACGTGTTATATTTTCTTAATATCAAAGTTTTTCAAACATTAGGAAATAGAATTATGAAAGAGCCATTGAATAACAACAATATTGTTTTTATATTTTTGACAGATACGAACTTATCTGCTATTAAAAACCTATACGGTACACTGTTCAAAATATGAAGGAGAAGTCATAATCTTTGTCTCTTGTATTATTTGTCCTTTGATGCATAATTATTTTCAATAAAAATGAAATTTCAAAATAACTCGATTAGTTAGCGACCTCTCTCGACGAACTATATATTCTAATTACTCATTAAAAAAAACATGTCACAAATGTAAAAATACAAAATTCAAAAGCTTTTTTTTAATCAATTTTTCTGTTTAAGTACTATATATATATAATAAATGTTTATTATTGGTTAACCATAGTTTATACAAACTGATCGATTATAATTATCCATTGATAAACATGATGATGAATGAATTAAATACGACATTTTTATTAATTTAATATTGAGTTTCTTTTTTTAGATTGAAATATATCAAACAATAATAATAATAATAATAATAATACTAGATAAATGGCACAAGTACTCGATGCTTATGTTAATAAATCAGTGAATGTTGTTACAGCTGATGGTCGAATTATAATTGGAACATTACGTGGATTTGATCAAGCGATAAATATTATTTTAGATGATAGTCATGAACGTGTATTTTCATCTACAGATGGTGTTGAACAAGTTCTTCTTGGTCTTTATATAATTCGAGGTGATAATGTTGCATTAATTGGTGAAATTGATGAAGAACTTGATAAAACTATTGACTTTTCTAGAATTCGAGCAGATCCATTACCAGTTGCTAAAACATAAGTTCTGTGTTTTTTTTTGTCTATTAGTGATTTTTTTTTGTTCTTGTTATTATTATTGTCGTCAGATGATTATCTCTTTGTATGAAATTCAAATACTTTTTGTAACTATTGATTCAAAAAAAAAGCAAATCTAAGAAAAGATTAGGCAATGTCTTATATGACTTGTCAATATAGAAAAAAAAAGATTCTCTGTCTTGTTTTCAACATATCCAAACAAATAGAAATATCTTAACTATTGAAGAATCTAATAAATCATTTTTTCTTTTTTTCTTTATTTTAAAAATTATCCAAACATTGAGTAAAAGAAAAAAATAGAATTTAAGAAATCTTGTAATTGTAAACATTTTATGTTAATAAACGATAAAGTTCTTAATTGATTGATCAAGATTTAATGTATTATACTAAGTTGAAAAATTTGTATGGAATAAAGAAATATTGTGTAGCAATATTTGAGAATGATGATTCAAATCCTGGTTTTTTTCAAAATAATAATGAATTGATAATTTGTTTGCAAGTATAGAACTATAGTCCGAGGTATTTGATAGTTTTATCTGCTCTTGATTGCTTTTCTTATGTATCATTGAGATTTTGAGACTGAGAAAAAATTGAAATATTTTTTGTATGATTTCAGTTTATAATCCTTCAAATAGATAAATGTACAATTAATGCTTTAGTTCATAATAGTGCAAAACCAATATTTTTATAATATCATAGTATATTCTTTGAAAGGTGTGTTTTCCATAAGTTACTCTCCTGTCTATCTATTACAAATAAGGATAAATTTTCTTGTATCACCTACCTGTATATACAAATTTATATATTGTCAATGGAAGCTTTATTTTTTTTTTAAATATTTTCAATTATATCTAATGCAACGAATTATTTCATATGTATTGATAATCATTTAAGAGAAAAGAAAAAGAAACACTACATCAAAAAAAGCGAACGCAAAGACAGAAAGATATAGTTCATTCAGAAAAGAAAAAGAAATAATTTTTTAATCATGAGCTACTTCATCAACGACAATAGCTAAACTTAAAATAAATGGTACATCTTGACCTTGTTCAACTTTAACACCATATTTATCACCAATTGCAAAGAATTTCTTTGAAATAGTAGCAACAAGTTGATGATCTTTTTTTATTTTAAATTCACGTGAACGAAAATTGCCTTCAATTCTATATGTACCATGTTTCGAACTAACTGAAAATTTTTTACCACCGATAAGATTGAATTTACGACTAAAAAAAATTATTTTTTATATTGTTAAATATTCAAATTAAGAAATACTTACCTAACATCAGCAATTACTTGATTATTTTGACGAATTTCATATTTTGCTAAACCAAGCGGATTGAGAACATGTTTAACTTAATCAAATAAATAAAGTAATAATAAAAACAAAAAAGAGTAAATTCATAATATCTTACTAGAATAAAATTCATTTTTACCACTGGGATCAGTAAGTTGAAGATGTTTACCTACACCTAATTGTTTAAAACCTACCTAAAATGATATTTATATAAATTGTTTTTTCAAAATAAAATCAAAAAAAAAATTTACTTTATAAGCTGGTTGATTACGATCATCTTTGATTGTATATGATGTACCAAGTGTAAGTACTTTTTGTTGAAGTTGATATTTAGTACCGCCTTTAATTTTTTGGGATGATTTAAACATACAAAACGCTGTTGCAACTAGAACCAATTGTATAGCCAATAATTGAAAAATAACACGAGCCATGATGAAAAGAAAGAATAAATTTGAAATGAGAGGTAAGACTGTATAGAGACTGTAATCTATATAGTAATCGTTTGTGCTAAAAATGAATTGATAAATGTCAAGTGTGCGGAACGAATGATAGTGTATTTCTTATCTAAGTTATTTACTTTTCTTCAATCAATAAAAGAGAACGAGAAAAAAAAATCATGCGGCTTGTTTTGTGGTACCCATATACATATGCATTATCATTGTTAAAGTCATTTTGCTATTGTCGTGATAGAATCCGCAAAATGTGTTTCTTTTGAAGCATTAATCTAACCTTCGATGTCAGGTATAAATAAAACTACTCCTAGCTGTACTATATAACATCAAACATAGAACTATCAACTATTGTCAGACATAATAGCATTCAGTTCATGGTCAGATAACATTACATTTATCGATTTTTTTATGCTTTGATAAAGAAATTTTATATTTTATTTCTATCTTTCTACAATTAACATCTATAGATTTATATTGATAAAGTTTACAAAAAGAGAAAAAAAAAAATGATTCACTGAATAGTTGCTAATTTTTGTGCCCATTTTTTTACAAGCCAACGCATTCGAATCATTCCAATAACAACTGTAATATAACATCGAAAACGAAAACGATAATTTGATGAACGTCGATGATAATATTGTTTGGATATTAATTTTATTTGATTCCTATTAGAAAAATTTGATTTCATATTACCATTTAAACGTTGTATTTGTTTTAATGCAAACATTTCTGTATCTTCATAACCAGTTAATAAAATAAGTAAATAACGTTTTTGATAAATTAAAGCTTTTCGATAAGCTTCAGAACGTAAATATTTAAAATAAAATTTATTTAAATGATGAGAATTAAACAATTTTGATTGATATTGATTTTGTTTTAATTGTTCAAATTTATCTTTTAAATAATGTAATTGTTCTTTTGTTTGTTCAAGTTCATTAATTAATAAAAGACGATCTTGTGATAATAATTTTCCTAATGCATTACGTTGATAATCACACATATGATGAATATCTTGTTCTAATTTATCAACATTCTTATGTTTACGTATATCTATTAAACGACGTTCTTGTTCACATCGAAATATATCAACAAGATATTTAATTAATGTATTACCACTTTCATTAGCATTCATATTTGCAATTAATGAACGAAGATAAGAATTTTCTTCATTCAATTTTTGTATTGAACCTATTGATTCATCTGTTGTACTAATATTTATACCATGTAATTGTAATGATAAAATTTCACTTAATGTTAACACATGAACACCTAAAACCAAGAAGATAAAAACTTTTAATTCGCCCATAGTGCGAACGACTTGACACTAGAGTGTGTCGGGTTAGATCCGGATCTGACGGATCCTACTCGATACAAAATTTTTGCTCGTTTTTCGGTCACTAAAAGACAATTGGTTAAAGTTAGTTGAAATCAGAATTTTTCACTCTATCCAAATATATATTTAGATTTTCCTTCGAAGGGGTACGATTGAACAACTATTAGTAAATTTTGTGAAAAAGTTTAAAATGGTGTACAAAATGAGATATTATAATAAGCGAAATCTCATTTTCACTAAAGTGCTAGTTTCTATGGAAATCGCTGTTCCAAAAACTATTTGTAAAAATACAAAAGTTTAAAAATTTGTCGTGCAACAGTAAATAGTACGTTCTGTAGAGCAAACTGAGGCAATATAAAAACTGTTTCGCATTCTGAACTTAATAGATTTCAATCGAAATGCAAAATTGATCAAAATAGTATTCTGTACGAACACTATTTTGAATGTTTTGGAAATAATCTCCTGATAGTTGTCCAATCTTATCCTAGAAGGAAAGCCTGAACTTGTGTTTGGAATGAGCGAAATAGTGTAATTCTAACTAACTGATCGAAAAAATGAGCAAATATTTTGTACGAAGACTTTTGTACCATTGGTTAATTTCGTTCTAAATTAAAAATAAAACACAACTGAAATAGTTCGAAGTCTTAGATTTTATGTAAAAATCTGGATTGCAAAATTATATAGTAGTTATAACGATACATTGAAAAAAAAATCATGTTACTTCATAGAAGGTCAATAAAAGAACTCCTTGAAAAGAAACCTAATAAAAAATTGTTCCTTGAATGAAAATACAACAGACATAGTCATTCCTCTTTTTCGATATTTTATTTCAATTCTACACTACCGACATTTTACTAATTAACTGTAATATTTCGTTTTTTTCAGTGAATAGAAGTTGTTTGCAATCTACATAGATGTGATTATTTTATTATCGTATAAACTAACTAAAAATTAAAATATCACATAAAAACTTCATTGAATTCAAAAATGAATATCGTTTAGAGTTTTCTGAATTTCGCCAATGGCGAAAGTTAGGTGGACTTTCACAAAGTGTCACGAAAAAATATTAAAATAGGATGCAAGTGAGAGTTGAAGTTCATATTGCCAGAATATATATATATATATCATAGTTTACATTCATCTATATAGTTGATAGGAATTTATTTTAATTCGCAGTCAAATTGATGAAAGTCGTATTGGCAAAATTTCGGTACCCATTGCTTAAGTAGAAAATATTTCATTTTATAGATAATAATTCGATTTCTGTATGCCGGTCAAAAATGTGTCGAATGTGTTATTTCTGAATTTTATATGATTGTATTCGTTAAAGAAATTGTATAGAACAATATTAACAGAGTTTTATTGCGCTATTTAAAAAAAGAAACACCAGATTTTTATCGATGGTAAACAAAATATTCGATGTGTTTATTTCTAATGGATTCATTGAAGAAAAAAAAAACTCATCTCAATCCTGTTTATTCTTTTTATTTGTCGAATAAAAAAAAGAATAACCTCTTGAGAATAGCATTTATGTTTTCTTTTGTATTGTCAATGAATTAAGAACAACATTTTTTAAGTATTCCAATTGAAATTTTAAAAGTATGAACTTTCTTTTTTTTTTTCTCTCTCTCTTTTCGTTTTATAAAATATTATAAACATATATTATGTTTACCTTCAGTATGTAATTTATTGACAAGTCGTTTAAGTTCATCGTTATCAGTTAATTGCTGTGATAGTAATTGTTGACGTTGTTCATCTTCATAACGGTCATTTTCTTCAGCAATACGAACTTGTTCACGCACTTGTTCAGCTATATTTGAATCAAAATTTAAACTACTTGAACTAATATTATATAATTGTTGTTGTTCTAATAGACGTGCTCGAAATTCAGCAAAATGACGATCATACTCATGTTTTAAACGCATACGAATTTCTATTAAATGAAACACCAAAAAAAAGATGTTTTATATTTCAAATTAGCTTGTCCATTTACCAGTTAGTTTTTCTTTAAGTTCATGATCATAATGAAGACGAATACGTTCAAGTTCAAGTTGATGTTCAAATTGTAATTGTTCAAAACGTTTTTTCCAATCAGTTTCAGGCGATACAGTCATATTTGTTGTTTCTATTTCCGGAATTTGTGATTGTTGATTTGGTGATGTCATTCGAATAGAATTTTCTTTGCAATGATAAAAGGGAAAAAGAAAAATAAAATTTCTCGTTGTCAAGGAATTCCGTGATACATACTGTAGTTGGGTTTTTTTTTTATCTGAGATTACTTTTCTTTTACATCAATGTTGTATGCAGACGTTCTTGTTCTACTAGTCAACCATTTAGATTCTTTCAAACGCACACTCACTTTTTCTTTTTCTTTTATCTTTATATATATATATATTTATATTAAACTCTCTCTTTTTCTTTCTTGTTCTACTTCTCTGTTGTTGAGAGACGATTCTGCCATAACGACAATAGTTGAGCATAGAAAAAGAAAAAAAAAATTGCATTCGAGCTGTCAGATTTCATATGAACTAAAAGAATGTTAACGCGTAATAAGAAGAAACAAGAGTAATTGACGAACACATATGTGTGTAGTCGTTTTGTTTCTTGCATGTTCAATTTTATTCAAAAAAGAATTATGATTTACAATCGATACTTAAAGGCGCATTTTTTTCTGAAAAACATCGGCAAAAACATTACAAGCAAGAATTGTGATGGATACAAAACGTTTAACACCTCGTCATGTATTTCAAGGAGTTTTACTTTTTACACCACCATTAAGTGAACAAAAATTATTATCTTCAAGTTTAACTGTACCATCATGGAATAAAAATGCACGTTCATCAACAATTTCTGATACAGTTGTTATTAATCAAAGTCCACGAGCATCAACTTATTCTCTTGGTCCTACGAAAAAATTCGATTTTTCACGTGCACAAAAAGTTCTTCAATCAGAACTTACTCGTCATTGTGCTAAAGTACCTAGATATGTTCGATATGATTCAAAATTATCTAATGATCTTGCTTATGATTTAGCTCGACAATTACGTCGAGTTATGAAAGCAGATAATCTTAATTATACACGATATAAAATTGTTGTACTTATTTCAATTGTACAAATGGCACCTAGTCGACAAATACATCAGTCAATGGCAATTGTATCAAGATGTTTATGGGATCGAGATACGGATGGATCAATAACAGCACAAACTAAATTAGGCTATGATATGGTTGCTGTTGCAACTGCATTTGCAGTTTATACTGATTGACATATGAATGCTTTATTAAACAGAATTTATGATAAAATTCTCTATTAAGAACATTTGATAAACTTATAAATCATCAATCCTTTTCGTTTTTATGTAACTAAAGATAAATTTTAATACTAAACCAATAAAAAGAGCCGGATCTGATATTTCACGATAACTATCAAAATCAAACATATTTTCTTACTCTTATTCGTAATCAAATTTTATGTATGAATAAATCTGTTTTTTTTTTCTACATCAAGGTGTTGTTGATTTAGTACTAAATATTATCAGAGTCGAGTAGAAAAGTGCCACTTTATCCATTTCGTGCTCGTCAATTATAAATATCAATAAGCAATATTTATATGTACCCTGGTTATCGATGTTTTTTTTTCATAGAATACAAAATCTATTTATTGCAACCTGTTCGACATGTTGTTGACATTCACTAGAAAAAAAAAGGTCGAAAACAGTAATGTTAATATAAAAATGTTATTCAAACGAATGTGATCCGTGTACGTCATAAAAAGCGCTAATGATCGTCTAAATGCATTTTTGCAAATAGTCGATTCAGATGGTAATGGTTACATTTATAAAGAAAAATTTCAACACATTTGTTCTCATTTATCACTAGTAGAAATTGATACAATATTGAATGATTTTGATAAAGATAATAATAAACGTATTTACTTAAAACAACCGATGCAATCAAATAATTATTCTCATATATTATTCAAACATGATATGATTAATCAACAATATAATACAGAAGAAAATATGATACATACGCAAATCAATGAAATACTCAATAATCTTTCATGGTATGAAAAAAAATAATAGAATAGATTAATTAGAAAGAACTTTTCTTGTTCGAGAACGTTTCAATTCAAATTTACAGTTATATATTTATTCGTATAGACGTAGCTGATGAATAATATGATGTAGATCGATACATATACTGATAACTGTTTTTTCGTTCTTTTTCGACCGATACCTATTGCTGAATGGTCGCCCACCTTACGCGTAAGCGTAAAGAAAAAAGTCAAATCACTGTTCTTAGTTCTAGGAGCGTTACGTTGTTTTGATAAACATATTTATGTACAGGATTGTGCATATGGTTGAAAGAGAAAAGAGGAGGCGGAGAGGGAAAGGAGAACGAAACGAAAAACGAGTATCATGAAAATAGCTATATCAACAACGACACAAGCAAAACGGTTCTGGTTATTTTATTTTCAATATAATTTGTGCAGAAACTGATATCAAATATTTCATTGATTGAAAATCACACAATGGACATAATCAATGATAACGTCTCTGATGATATTGTATTTTCCAAGTATGTAAGAGAAGTATTTTTAATACAAAAAATAAAAAACACGCATCCTATATATTTTGAAAAGATTTGTTTTTGCTTCGATAAAAACGAGAATTATTTAATATATGCAAAATAAAAGTTTTGTTCGTTAAGTATTTGTTTAACCGTCTAAAAATTAGACGAAACAATAATGTTGATGGTATAATATTATTTTTAAAGCATGAAAGAAGACTATGCATGCATTGAACAAATATTTATTTTTCTTTTAATAGCCAAGAACAAATCTATGAGTTTTATGAAACACTTCGAAATAGTTCAAATGGTTCAATTGAACAATTTCAATCAATTCTTGAAGTATTTGTTTGTGATATTCTTAAATATCGTAAAGAAATGAAACGATTAGAAGATTCATTTAAACGGTATTTAAATAAAATTCATTTTGTGATTTTCTTTTTTTTTTTT